AGGTGGGTGAGAGGCTTCTTGGAGCCATGCAGATTTCTGATAAAAGGCTCTGAGGTATGGGATATTTACTACAGGTATTAGGGCTCAGCATGGGACGTGTCAATCTCCATACTAAAGGCTTCTGGTTAAGAGACCTTTCAGGCTTTACAGCATTTCCAGAATGAACTCCCCTAGGATATGATGTATTATTCAATATTCACATGACTGGATTTAGTTTGCTTGTATTTTGAGGAATTTTGCATTTATGGCCATGAAAGTGTGAAGTTTTCTTTTCTTGAAAAGTCGCCCTCTAGTTTTGGTCTCAGGACCTCACAGAGGCTTGGGAGACGAAGTCAAGGGGCTTGCTGCTCTTCTGTTTTCTGGAAAAGTTTGTGTAGAATTGGTAGTAGTTCTTTCTTCGGTAAATTCACCAGGGAACACATCTGGCCTGAAGTTTTCTTTATTAGAAAGTTTCTAACTATGAATTTTTTCTCTTTAATACATATACCAAAATAAAATAAACCCATTGCCAGGATTCTGACTTATAGTGACCCTCTAAGAGAGAGTAGAATTGCCCCATAGGGTATCCAAGGCTGTAAATCTTCAGGGAAGCAGATTGCCTCACATTTCTCCCCCCAAGCAGCTGGTAGCTTCCACACGTCCACCTTCTGGATAGCAACCAATGTTTAACCAGTTCCACTAGTAGAGAGCTACAGGAAAGTAGTAAACTGCACTCTGTCAAAGGCGGAAAACCTGGGAGAGCTGGAAAAATAAGGCAGCCCCATCGAGTTCCGGTTCGCACAGGTTTCACTGCGTTTCTTTGTGAGGGGCGTTTGTTTTCAAGGAATCAGTCCCACTTCATCTAAATTGCCCAATTTATGGGCATCAAGTTGTTCATACAATTTTTATTCTTTTTAAATGTTTGTGAGTCTACAGCATCCAATATCAGTGCCAAACACACCTCTAAGCTTTAATTTTTTGAAACCTCGACTATTTAAAACAGTCAGTGATGCAAACGGTTTCAAATCCAGAAAGCGAGCCACCTGCGGGTGGAGGCAGAAGCAATCTCAAGGCCGGCCCCGGCCCCGCCCCCTCCCTCAGCCCCGCCCCTTGGCCGTTGGCCCCGCCCCTACGTTGCCCCGTCGGCCGCTTCAGGCGTGCGCCTGCGCAGTTTCAGACAAAAGCGGAAGTGGACAATGAGGAGCGACAGTTACCGTGAGGTTGGTGAGTTTTGGTCATTTGGGTTTAACTCTGCGCTCCGCGTCCTCCATACCTGGCCTGGGGGCCGCTCGGGATGTTAAAGTCCCCGCGCAGCCGTGAGACGTTCCGAGCGCTGCTCGCTCCGCCGCCGGCCGGGACTCGCGTCCGTTGGGCGTGAAGTCGCGCGGAGGCGTGTCCCGCCCGGGCCTTCCTGCGCTCCGGCCGCGCGGACGCCGCCTACTGACTTGTTTTCTTGCCCGTAACCCCCCCCCCCTCCGACCCCGGCCGCCCTGCGCTGCGTAAGGTCCGCCCTGCGTTGCGTGGGTCCCGCCCCTGCAGCCCCAGCCTCCCCCCGGGTCCCGTGTCCTTTCCCGGGTCTTCTTCTCTCTCCCGACACCCCGTCCTCGCGTCGTCTTCAGCACAGCATGGGGCCTGTCGCTCCCCGGCCTCCCCTTCGCAGGGAGAGGAGTTCGCCCGGGTCCGTTCCCATCCCGCTTCACAGCCCCTCCCTGCGGACGAGGGAGTCGGAGACCGAGCAGCTGCGGGGAAACTGGAAACACGAGCGGAGCAAAGACGGCGGAGGGAGTGCGGGCCCCACGCCGACTGGAGGCCGGGGAGGGGCCTGCGGAAAGGTGGCGCGGGAACGAAGCCAGAGCAGCCGGGAGGAGAGAAAACGGGGAGATGTGCAGAGAAGGGGCGTCTGCGGAGAGGGAGGCCCCGCTGGCTGCGTGCGTTTTCTCTCTCCGCCGGATCCGTCTCGGGTTCCGCCTCTGGCGTCTGGTCTCTGAACGTGGGCGCGCCCAGGGCGCAGCCCTTGGATCCCTTCTCTGCTCTGTCCACACCCCCGGCCTTTCCGTGTCATCTCATCGCAGGACTTTAAATACCTGACGTCTCCCGATTTCACCTGCAGCCAGCCCTCTGCCCTCAACTCCGGACTCATGCGTCCAGCTGGCTCCTTGATGTCACAGCTGGGCCCCTCAGGAGCGTGTTGTTGTTGTTGTTATGTGCCGTCAAGTCGAACCTGACTCATAGTGACCCCTCCTTGGGTTTCCGAGGCAGTATCACTACGGAAGTAGGATTGCCCAACCTTCCTTCCGAGGAGTGGCTGGTGGATTTGAACCGCCAGCCTTCTGGTTAGCAGTCAAGTGCCTTAGCCACTATGCTACCAGAGCGTGTCCACCTTAAAATGTGCAGCACTGCCCTCCCAGTTCCCCTAAACTGTCCCCCTTGCGGTCCTCACCATCTCGGTGAAGGGCAACTCCAGACTTCTGGGGCTCACGTGAACATTTCGTGTGTTTTTAAAATAAACAAGGCACATAATTATTTTTATTTATAAAATTAAGAAAAAACGATGCTTTGTGGAATGGGCAAGGGAATGCAGAGTTTCCAAAGTGCTTTGTGATGTGAGAGAAAGAAGGTGGAAGGCGGCAGCCTGCCTGCTCTGCCCCCCCACGTGAGTTGGCTCCTCCTTCAGAGGATCTGATCCTGTGTTTTGAGTGCTCAGACCTGCTCCAGCCTCACAGGCCTCTTTGCTTTTCTTGAACTATGAGAACGACACACCAGGGTTGGGAGTCACAGGGGGAGAGACAATCACCATCAGCATCCCCCCAAAACTGACTCCTCTGGGGTGGAGGTTAAACACCTCCACCTTCCAACCTTTTTACCAGTTCTGACCCCAGCCAGTGCTCCCGTGCAGCGGCTACTTCAGTGCTGGGTTCGATGTTTTGTTGCAGTGGCTACACAAGTCACAGGCAGTACTCACCATTGTAGGGTGTATTAGGGAAGTAACGGGTTCCAACCCAGGTTCAGGATCAGGAAGCATGAAGGCAGAGTCTCCCTTCTGTGCAGGACAACTCTCAGCTCCTCTCAGTCACACACAACGCCTCTCGGTCCCCTGCGGACAGGCCTCCTCTCTTGGCCCTTGACCTGGCCTCTGCCATTCTTGGCACACTGTCGCAAAGCTCTTTAGCTCCACCAGTAAGTGCCCAGCAGGCCGCGGGAGAGCAGAGCCAGGAGGCGCACCGGACACCGAGGTGCCGCCGCCGCCATTTCTCTGCCTCGCTTACTGCCGCGACTCACTGGCTGGTGTCTTCTCCAGACAGCCCTCTCTGTCTGCCGGGCCTAGGCGATGCTTCGCACAGGGACACTGGGTCCAGAGAGTGTGCGCCACTTCTGTCTCTTCTTGGTAGTCAGGTCCCCTCCCTCCACCTCTAGAACGGCTCCTTTTAAGCCTAGAGGTCGGCAAAGCAGACCAGTTCCCCTCATGAGGGTTCCAAACAGCTTATTTGCATGGTCCCACCCCTACAAGGGTGCCATGCTTAATCAGCAAGCTGTCCAGTCCCTTCAGTGGGCCAAGAGCACCTTATTTGCATAGTCCCACCAATCTTGTGCCTCCTTGAGGAGTGACAGAGTGCGCATGGCTAGAAAACCAAAAACCAAACTCATTGCCATTGAGTCATTTCTGACTCGGTGACCCCCTTTGGGTTTCCGAGGCTGTAAATCTTTATGGAAGTAGATCTCCCAGTCTTCCTTCTGCAGAACAGCTGGTGGGTTTGAACTGCTGACCTTCCAGTTAGCAATGAAGTACCCTATCCACTACTCCACAGAGCTCCACACGTGGCTGGAAGGATCGTACGATGTAATTCACTGCACTGCGTGGAGCCTCCGCCCTTCCCTGCTGGAACTCTTCCTGGAACTTGCTGATGCCCACATACACCTGACAAACCCCCTTTCTTCTTCAGCTCTTTGTTCTGATATCACCCTCTCAGGGACCCTTCTCTGAGGTCCCATTAACAACATTCCAGGCGCCCCTTCCACCGTGGATACAGGTGACAGCCCAGTCCGGGCGAGAGTAGAGCCGCAGGTGGGAGGTGTGCTGGGCTCGCCTCCTGGGAGTGGGGCCCCACCCTGGCTGCACACTGGGTTGCTGAGGCATTTTTGCAGATACTTCCCTTGTGCCTCTCCCCAGAGAACCCAAACCAGACATGTTAGCACAGCGTCATTTCCAGTGCTCGGTGACTTCGTTTGCGTCAGAGGGGAACTGTGTTGCATGGGGTTTGCAAGGCTCTGAGCTTCTGGAAGCAGGTCACCAGGCCTTTCTTCCAAGGTGCCTCTGGGTGGGTTCGACTCACTAACCTTTTGGTGAATAGCTGACTGCCTAACCGTTTGTGCTACCCAGGGACTGCCCAGAAACTGCCCTTCAAGTGCTCCGGGTGAGACCCGGGCTCAGGTGTGATACACGGTGTTTCTCATCTGCAGCCAGCATTGAGCACAAGACTCGGGCCCTCAGTTGCTGAAGTGAGACCAGCCCCCATCGCAGGGGGGAGCTGTGGGGCCATCCTCAGCACGGGCCGTGTCAGGCTGGTCGGGGACCTGAAGGGGACCTCAGGCGAGCCCAGATGCCCCTGCTGCAGCCGAGGCTGGACGTCCCCCGGAGAGGAGGGCAGTACGCTCACCTGGTGGGCTGTGTGTACGAGGTTATTGTCCCTGAGTCCCTTCTGGGGCAGCGGGCAGCAGGGACTGTCTCTCCCCATGGTGAGGTCCTCACTGTGTGCATGGCTGTGAAATGGCACGGTGTGTGGATTGTAACCATTTACCACCACATTGTCCACACTCAGGATTGACTTCTCAAGATTGATCTTGCCTGGAGGAGGAGGAAGGAAAGAGGCATCCAGAATGGCTCTGTCCCAGGTAAGTCGTATTCCCGGTTGGTGGCTGTCCCTTCCTCCCTGAAATGCTGTCCTGGGAGTGTGCTCCTCTCCTCTGACTCTGCCTGGTCCTGCCTGACACGGTCACTCACACTCACCTAGGCCTTCCCTCATCCCCTGTCCCCTTCACACACAGTGCACCTCCCTGTGACCCAGGGACATGGGACTTGTGAAGAGGCTCCATTTGGGGGTGTCCTGGGAAGGGCTTCACACCAGGCCTGGGTGGGAGATGGGGAGTGGGCTCCATGGGGACAGTGAGGGTGGGCAGTTTAGGGGCCACATCCATGTACCCTGTCAGCTCTCTCTGAACCAGCATTAAGGCAACTGTACGTTTACATGTTCTGTTAATGTGCGGAATTGCTAAAAAGTCCAGAAAAGGAGACTGGGAAAATTTGTCCTGCCTTCTTTCTCATGTGTTTGAAGGTAGAAAAGCAAATCTGTGTGTTTCTTGCTCCAAAATACTAATGATTTGGGATAGACTGGGAAGTTCAGAAACAGACATCAGAGGAAGAGGGTGTTTTGTTCCATAATTGGTTTTAAAATACGAAGTTGATGGAAACATCTAACACGTGTTAATGAGTTAACAGGAATGTGGGTGCTCCTAGTGTGACCTTTTCTCCAGTTCCATGTTCTTGACTTTGAACTTGTTTCAAGTTTTCTCAGTCAGGAAGCTTGGTGTATAGAACATAACATCTGGTCCTACTATCTAGCTATCTCTTTGTTGAATATTTCTCATTTGTATATTTGATTGTCCACAGAAATGTAGAATGCACAAGAATCTAGCATGTTTTGTATCTTCAGATAGAAAAGAGATAATAAAACAAAATCCAGGACACAACTTGGTCAGAATTGTCTACTGTGGGTCTTCTGTCACACGAATGTCACTTTAATCGATATTTCCCACCTCTCCCCTTCTCTTATATTGTGTGAAAACAGCAGCTCTCCCTTGTCCTCTACTTGAGATGTGTCTTCCATTGCAGGGACTGTTGACCTTCAGGGATGTGGCCGTAGAGTTCTCTCAGGAGGAGTGGGACTACCTGGACCCTGCTCAGAGGGCTCTGTACAGGGACGTGATGTTGGAGAACTACAGGAACCTGGTCTCCCTCGGTGAGCACCGCTTCTCTCCAGACGTCAGGGTCTCCCCTAGTGAATCTTGGCATTTTCCAATGTGAGCTCCCTGTCTTGCTTGACTGATAGCTGTGTGGATTCAAAAGCAAACAGCTTTATAATGCGGCATCTGGACTCTAACCCTCTCCTTTCTTCAGGTGATCCACCTGCTTCACACTCTTCAGTGCTGTAATTCAGCGTGAAGTTAATTGTCTAAATTTGGGAGGGATAAGAATCAGGACCAGCACAAAGCTGATAGCTATGTGACGAGGTCAAGTATAGCTCCACCTCCCCACTGCTCCACTTTCCTGGCAACAGCCACACGGAACTCTTAGGGACATAATTGGCTACCACTCGGGATCAGGATGAACTTGGAATTAACAGAAACAACTGGGACCAGCATCAGGAAACACTCAGGCCTCCCACGACCCGTAGGCACAGCATCTCCACTGTTGAGGCGCCTGCCACCACCCTCTCTTCTATCGGCCTCATCTGCCATTAACTGCCCAACTCATAGCCAGTGTAGCAAGCTGCTCCGCTCCCTCAGCTGCCCCTCTGCCGTTGGGCGCTCTGCCATTGGGCTACCTACCATTGTCCTTCCTGCCATCGGCCGCTGCTGCTGACTGGCCCAGCCCATAGCCAGTGTGGGAGCTTGCTCAGCTCTCTCAGCTATTTTTGCCTTCAGGCCCCTCTGCCGCTTGCTGGCCCAGCTCACAGCCAGTATAGCTGCTTCAAGGCCATGAGGTGTGTCTGGTTTGGGTGGTGCATCACAATGTCTCCCAAGGGTAATGTGCCAGTGTCCATCAAATATGCTAATGATAGTCTCTCTTGAGCCGGCAATCACAGGTATAGGAATTTATCCTAGAGAGAACGTTGTTGTTGTTATGTGCCGTCGAGTCAGCCCCGACTCATAGCGACCCCTCCTTGGGTTTCCGAGGCAGTATCACTACGGAAGTAGGATTGCCCAACCTTCCTTCCGAGGAGTGGCTGGTGGGTTTGAACCGCCAGCCTTCTGGTTAGCAGTCAAGTGCCTTAGGCACTATGCTACCAGAGCTCCCAGAGAGAACATTATCAAAGTCTATAACCTCATAGTATAAGGTGAGAGGTCTGTCTTCTTCCTTTTGCATGGGAGTATCCCCTGGTCCTGGCACCATTTGTTGAAGAGTCTCTTCCTTCCACATTGAGTGGTCTTGGTACCCTTGTCAGAAATCAATTCACCATAAATACATGGGTTTTTACTGGACTCGGTTCTATCCTGTTGGTCTACATGTCTGTCCTTATGACACTACCACACTGCTTTTGATTACTGTAGCTTTCTTGTAAGTTTTAAATATCAGAAAGTTGGAGTCACCTAACTTTGTTCTTCTTTTTTTAATATTCCTTTGGCTATTTGGGGCCCATTGCAGATCCATATGAATTTGAAGATCAAATTTTCCATTTCTTCAAGAAAGGCCATTGGAATTTAACAAGGGCTCCAGTGAATCTGTAGGTAGCTTGGGATAGTCTTGCCATTTAGTCTTCCAGCCAATGAACACAAGATGTCTCTCCATTCATTTAAATCATTTCTTCCAGCGGTGCCTTATAGTCTTAAGTCCACACATCTTTTACCTCTTTGGTTAAATTTATTCCTATGGATTTCAGTTTTCTGGCTGCTTTTATAAATGAATTTTGTTTTTAGGTTTTTTGTGGGGTTTTTTTTTTTTTTTTTTTTTTCCAGATTGTTTCTTGCTGGTATATAGAAGCACAGCTGATTTTTTTTAATCTTATTTTTCAGGTAGTAAAAATATACACAAAAAAACACCTGCTGACACAATTTCCACGTTGACAATTCAATGACATTGATTACATTTTCCATGTTGTGACTCCATTATCATTGTCCTTTTCTAGAATATCCTTCTCCCATTAACATAAACTCAGTGCCCTCAAACAGAAACTCTGCATTTCCCCATCCTTCCTGCTTGCCTCCCACCCCTGTTGACCATTGATAATCTTTGGGTTTTATATACAGACAGTCTCAGACTTAGGATGTATTTGAGTTGCAGTGAACCTCACGACTATATGTTGAGGTTTTTTTGTACATTATATCACTAGTAATATGTGCTATGTACAATGTTGGAATAGATCTGTAACTTCATATGTAACGTGTCCAACCCCTAAAGACAAAGATCAGATTTAGAAAGATACCAGTAATAAAAGGCAATGATAATGAGCCCTTTAAAAATAAAAAATACTGAGGTATTTGGCTTAATGTCAGAATCAACTTGAGATGGAGCAGTCAGAATAGAACTTCATTGTGAGTTGGGACTGCCTGTGTGTGTGTGTTTCATAACGACGAGATCACACTGTATCTGGCCTTCATTTCACCATGTGGTGGTGGTGTCAGGACTTCATTTCTCTTTGTGGCTGAGAAATGCTCCATTGACGTGCCATGCTTTTTTTAATCCATCCATTGTTGATGGACATTTGGTGGTTTCTGTGTTCTGACTTTTGTGAATAGTGCTGCAGTGCACATTGGTGTCCTTGTGTCTGTTTGTGTTGCTGCTTTTCACACCTAGGAGTGGAATTGCTGAGTCTTTTTGTAGTTACTTAACTTTTGAGAAATTGCCAAATTGTTTCTACGGTGGCCAAACCATTTTGAATTCCCACCAGCAATGGATAAAGGTTCCAATTTCTTCCCATTCTCCTTCCTTTTTAAGGAGAGTTTAGCCAAGTATAGAATTCTTGGTTCATAGTTCTTTTCTTTATATATATCTTCCCAGTGCCTTCTGGCCTCCATGGTTTCTGATAAAAGATCAGTTATTAATACTGCTGTAGACCTCCTGTGTGTAACTAGTTGCTTCTGTCTTTCTACTTTCAAGATTTTTTCTTTGTCTTTGTCTGTCAGCTCTTTGTAACATGTCTTAGTTTGGATCTCAAGTTTATTCTCCTTGGCATTTGTGGAACTTCTCAGCTATATAGGTCCATGTGTTTCATCATTTCAGGAAGTTTTCAGCTGTCATATCTTCAAATATTCTTTGTACCCCTCTTTCTCCTCTCCTTCTGGGACACTCATTATTCATTTCTTGTTTTTGTTTTTGTTCTCTTTTTGTATATGTGATGCTATCTCACAGGTCTTTTAGTCTTTGTTCGTTTACTTTCATTATGTTTGTCTTTCTGCTCCTCGGACTGGGTAATTTCAATTGACCTGTGTACAAGTTTGCTGACTCTTTCTTCTTCCTGATCAAATCTGCTGTTGAACGTTTCTGTGCAGATTTTCATTTTATTGTTCTCAGCTCCAGAATTTATATTTGTATCCTTTTTATATTTTGTATATTTTTATTGATATTCTCTATTTGTAGAAAGATGGGTCTGCTGGTTTCCTTTCATTCTTTGCCCATGGTTTCCTTTAGCTCCTAGGGGATGCTTAAAAGAATTGAATGTGTTTGTCTACTAAGTCCATTGCTTGGGCTTCCACAGGTAGAGTTTCTGTTGGTATCGTTTTTCTGGTGTGTGGGAGCATACTTTCTCAACGCTTTGCCTGCCTTGTAATTATGTGTTGAAAGAACTCTGAACATCGGATTCTACCCCTTCATGGTTCGTTGTTGATTGTTGTTAGTTTATTTATTAACTTCTCTGTACTGATCTTATGTGGTTTGTGTTCTTTGTCCTATGTGGCTACTGAGGTCTGCTCGGTTGAGTCGCCAGTACCAAGTTGACAGAGATTTCCTAAAATGTCTGGAACAATCACAATAACAAAACAAAACTCTCAGTCTTTGCAGATTGGCTCTGAGTGTGTGTTGGGTAGCACTTTAGACACTCAGGCCATTTAGAAATCTGCTGTAGTCTTCACTTCCCACTCACACAGAGCCTGATGGTCACTGAGAGGTGAAAGCTTTGGGGCTTCTCAGGTGTTTTCTTAGCATGCACCGAGACTTGCGCATTCGGGAGTCCAGCAGTACGTGGGAGCTTTTCAAAGCCCCTTTTCCTCAAAGCATCGTGTCACTCTGCAGTTTTTATTTCCCTGCTTTTCCACATGTCCGTTTTTGCCCAGCTGTTACCCCTTGCTCTAGGTGGCAGTGCCTGTGACATTTACAATCTGGGTTTCTTAGTGTTGCTGTAACCGAAATACCGTAACTGCATGGCTTTTCCAAATAGAAGCTTATTTAGGCTGGAGATCTGCGTTCAGGGCCCTGGCTCTAGGGGAAGGCTCTTTCTTTCACTCTAGGAACAGTCCTGTCTCATCTCTTGGCTGGTGTGCTTTGGAGATCTCCACATGGCATCTGTCTCTCCCCCATTGCTGCCTGCTTTCTCCTGTACCTCCTGTGCTCCCGTTAGACCTCCAAAGTGATTGGGATTACACACCCTGTACTGATTATGGCCTCATTGACATAACAACGAAAACCCTATTCTCAGGTAGGATTATATCCTCAAAGAGAAGGATTAGGATTCCAGCACATATTTTGGGGGTACACAATTCAAATCACAACATTTACCTTCAAGTGTTTTATAAGAATGCCCCTGGGAAGCACCACCTTCACCCAGGTGGATTTCTGCATTTGGCAATATAAGGACACGTCTTTTGAATCATTTTTTTCGGGAGCCAGCAGGCAGGTCAAAACAACCACAGATCCTTTGAGAATAAGGTTTGTTTTATCCCCTCCAGTCCTAGAAACCCATGTCAGCTTTAGGGGCTGGCATCTTCAAGGCTGAGGCTGAGCTGGGGACTAGGGCATGACATCAGGGTAAGTTAAAATTCCATGAAGCCCTTCTGCGATTCAGGTGCCTTTTTCTTGACTGAGCTGTTCCTTGGTTGCTGTGAACCTTTGATTGATTCCCAGAATTCTGATACAAGTCAGTTCTGATAGCATTTGCCAGTTTACTCACTGTTTTTGTAGACAGACAATATGTTTGAAATACCCAAGTCCACCTCTGTGTTGATGTCACCCTTCTCCATTGTTAATTTTTTAAATATTGTGTGTTTACCTGATGATCCTGATATTTCAAAAATTGGTGATTCTCAAAATATTTTCCATGTTCCCTACTTTTTATTCCTTTTAGAACTCCTTTGTTTTGTCTTAGGGGAGAATTCTTTAGAATTCCTTAGACTATACTTTTATGTAATTGTGGTTAACTTACTGATGGAGCCCTGGAGATTACGTGGTTGAGTACTTGGCTGCTAACTAAAAGGCCAGTGGTTCAGACTCACCCAGCAACTCTGCTGGAGAAAGACAGAGCTATTGGCTTCCGCAAAGATTGACAGCCTTGGCAATCCTATGAGGCAGTTAGTTGTATGCTGTCCTGTAAGGTTGCTATGAATTGGAATCAACTCAGTGGCTGCAGTGTAGTAAATTACTTAGGGTGGCTTTTCTACCCATAAATCTTTGTAAACTCCAAGGTGAGATTTGCTGTGAGCAACTGAGGAGCTCCTGATTGCCAAAAAGTTGTCCACCTGGAGTATTTCTGTTGGGCGTGGCACAAAACAATGTTCTGGGAGGTGCCCACTCCCTCTCAGGTGGTTAGAGTTCTGATGCTATGATTGGCTAGTTTTGCCACTCTGCCGGGCTCAAAAGGAGGCCTCCTAGAGGCAGAACTCTCTCTGACTGCTGGTGGAGGAAGACGTGCTGCTGAAAGAGCCACGTGCTGCTGGGGAGGAGACTCAAGAGACACGCGTTGCTGAGTGAGACACCGAGGGCACTGTTGGGAGAGAGACTGTGAGAGGCTTTTGGCTGAGAGACGGTGGGCTGGGAGAGAGACTGAGCGTGTTC